GTGGAACATCATGACAGAAGAATATGGTAGAGGAAAGCAGATCAGCACATGGCCACCAGGAAGTAGAGAGAGTGTGTGCCACTCTCCAGGGACAGTATATACCCCAAAGGCACCCACAGGGACCTTACTGCTTCAGTTGTACCCTACCTGTCTACAGTTAACCACCCAGTTAATCTCTATCAAAGGATTAACACACTGATTAGATTAAGGCTCTCATAACCCTATTATTTCACCTTGGAATGTTCTTGTATTGTCTCAAATATGAGCTTTTGGGGGACATCTCATATCTAAATTATAACATTCCCACACCACAAAAAAACAATTGTTCCATCATACCTAGGAGAGCACTCATTCTTTTTATTTATTTTAGAATTGCAAATAAAAGCCAATTAGATATCTAAGCTAAATGTATTGTAATTTTGTCTTTTGATATTAGGTAAGGTTTCTGGGATTCACTTTCTTCAAACTTTAAAATGGAGTCAATAATAGAACTTATCCTGCCTCATTATGGTGAATATTAAGTAACACTTGTGAAATCTTTTACACATTCTCACGGAAGTAGTAAGTTACTTGATCAAAGCTTTAAAGTTAAGAAGTAGTAGAATTTGGATTTAAACACAGTTCTATATATTTCTTATACAGTAAATACAATGACTGGTCCATAAATGTAACTGGTAATCATGGTTATTATTATTGTGTTTAAGAAAATCTGCTAATTCTTGTGGAAAGTCAGTCAGAACCTTTTACCCTTTTCTATATTGCCTGAGTGCAATGTGATTAAAAAGAGAGAAAGCATTTCTATAAATGAGAAATGCTACCCGGGAAACTGAAACATGTGCTGAATGAACAATAAACCTTAGGTGTGCTACAATTTGAATTGAGGAGACATTACATAAGGCTGATATGAGCAGGTAAACTTCATGAGGAGACTTCAGTCAGTCTTGAAGGGTTGGTCATATGTGGATAAAAAGAATGAAAAGGAAGAGCATTTCCATTAGAAATTCAGTGGACAAAGAAGCTGGTAGGGACGGGAGATAATTAGAAGATTTGACCACTGGAGTGACATGTGTAGAATGGTAATGAGAAGTTAGTTGAAATCAAGGCAGTGATCAATGATACAGCACTTTGAGTGCCAAGCTACAGGTTAGATTTTTCCATGGACAGTGGCAAATTAATGAAGAGCTAGGATCTTTGTGTAAGTGTTCTATTTTTTGATTAAATTTCCTTAAAAATACCTTCTGAAATTGTACCATGTTTTCGAATGGCATTGGTCCAAATCTTACTAATTAGCTAAGAATCTTAATTTCTCTCAGTTTAGTAAAATCTTTCTCTCCGTCGTTTTTTAAAGTGAAAGCAGAAATCAAAATGCAGATTCAAAGCTTCCTTGGAAAACATCAAAACAAACATAAATGAAAGAATTCCTGACACACACAAAAAAAGTTTCAGTAGAAAAACACAAAACAAATATTTACATGTAATTATAAAAGTCATTTTCATGTAATATTGAATATTATGAAGACTATTGGATATTATGAAGTCTAGATACATCATTGCCACAGATGAGACTGTTTAATCCAAGAAATTGACATTCTTTGGGTTGTAGGGCTGAGCTGTGGGCTGTGTGTCTTTCTTCTGCTGTTTTTCTAGAGACTTTTTGTTAAGCATGATAGGTGATTCACAAAGCAAATCATAGATACTACTTGATCAAACAAAACCAAACACACTTCCAAGCCCACACACACCCTTGCTACCACATGCTTTTCTAGTTCTCTATTTTAACAAATCTAACAGTCACCTAGGGTTTTTAAAAGCCTGGTGAGTGTTTATAGGAACACAATCAGCTCTGTAGTTAAATCTCACCAGCATTTCTCTTTATAAGTCTCTATTTTTAGAGGCTTGTCACTTAGCTACAAAAATACTGTTATGGTTTGGAACTTGTTGTACATGAACTCAGTCAAGACAAGATGGTCACACAGCTTTTTGCTTCTCTTTAAAACAAGCTATTTTGACTACTTCTTACTTTCAAAAAAGCTGAGCTAAAATGGGAGGTTGTCATTTTTATACTTACTCTCTCACAGCTGTAAAAATGGTTCCAGTTAATTGAGTAAAACCATTTTAGGTCACTACACTGTTATGTGGAGGGAAGTAAATTTAGCAGCATACGGGAACTTGACATTTTAAAGGTGGTTAAATTCTGAAAACTCATAGGTTGCTGATTGACTACAAGTATATGAATACTCGCAGAGTTCAAATAAAAATTATTTATTGAGAATATATATTTTTAGACCTTATCAGAGCCATTGGTTCTTTAAAATTCACTATAGCCATCTATTCTGAGCTACACCTTTGAATACATTTTATTTTTTAATTCCCAGAGACTTATATTCAATAAAAAATATTAAAAGAATATTATTTAGTTTCAAATGTAGCATTATTGCTGATATTCAAGCAAAATAACCATATTGAACCATTATAAAAATATACGCAGTGAAATACTATTCAGCCATAAAAAAGGATACAATGATATGGATGAAACTGGAGATTAGTGAAAGAATTTAGGTGCAAGAGCCAAGCACTGCCTCAGTCTGGCTGGGCACAAAATAACCGAGCCACCAGGAGACACTTACAGGTTCAAACAGGAACTCCTTTATTGCCCAAACTCCCGCAAAGACCACCCACACCCACTGCGGTCCTTCCAGGAACACCACACACCAACTGGAACTCCCTCCACCGGAACTTCACCAACCAACGCAACTCCCCAGGAATCCCCACAGAACTCCAAAGTAGCGGGCACCTGAGATGGACAGCAGGGGTCTATATACAATTGAATACACAGCCTGTTTCAATCCAGGATCATCCTGTCACAGCAATTATACACAACTTAACTTAATTATGATAATCTTAATGGCTCGATGGTGTCACCTCTCAACTATTCCTTCTGGCAAAATGCCAGGGGCCATTCCGACTCTGCTGTGGCTCTCAACAAAGCACCACCAGTTCTCACTCATATTTGGAATCTAAAAATGTTGATCTCATAGAAGTTGAAATAGTATGGTGAAGAGAACTGGTTATGATAACAATCACCAATTGTGGGGCTAGAGAGTGTGAAAGGAGGGTAAAATGGGGAAAAGTTGACTAATTGGTCCTAAGCTATGTTAGATAAGAGCAAGAGTTTCTGGTATGCTATTGTCCAGCAAGGGACTATAGGTAATAATGATGAACTGTACATATCAAAAAGCTAGGGAAAAAATTACATTGAAAGTTTTCACCACAAAGAAAAAGATATTTGAGGAAAAAGATATGCTTAACCTGATTTAAACATTACAGACTATGTGCATTGAAACATCACATGGTATCATTAATATATTCATTTTTTTTCTTTTTCTGTCAGTTAAAAAGTAAATTTAATTTAAATAAAAATAATGATGACAAAAGTGATTTATCAATACATGACAGATATTTGGTCCTTTACATTTTAATCATAATAAATACTGCTCATTTTATAAAGCTAGTAGCTTTTACATCACTCCCTACAATTTTAGAATGTTACTCTCACCATGACAAAGAAGGCAGAAGAAGTATTGTCTTTGTTTTACAGCAAGTACAATCAGAACCTTCAGAATTTGTACTTCCCTTTATTCCACGACCACTTTTGCCTCTCCCAGAGGTGCTATGATCAGGGTGTGTTTCTGGATATTTAGAGACGGGGAGAAAGATATTTCATTGCTCTGTATCTGGCATCAGCAGTTATCCCTCCCTGCTGCCCCCTCAGCCCTGAGACCAGTTGGGGAGTGAAATGAGACACTTTCTGAATAACTAGAGCACTAGCGTCTTGTGATTCCCCCAGAAAAGAGCAGGAGGAGGGGTGACCCTAGCAGCTTCCTCAGTGTCCTCTGTCCTGTATTTTGTTTAATCTTACTTGTGGATTAATATTCTAACTTCAAACCTCTTTCATTTTCTTTCTTGCTTAATATATTTCTGACAGATTCTAAATAAGCACAGAATCACTCTGCAGTTCAGGCTGTGGGTTTTGTTTTCCTGTGTGTGGTTAGTAATACTGCTAGGTGGTTGTTATAGTAACCAGTTCTCTTCAGCAGAGGAAAGAGTATGGGCATTTGACAGTGCTTAAAATTTAATAGAAGGAGATAAAGTTCCTAGATTTCATATTTCATTAGAGGATGATTACAGGGCAATCAGGACAATGTCTATTTTTTGAAGACTATTATATTTAAGTAAAAGGTAAATTATCTGCAGGTGCTATCTATTCTTCTCCCTGAATTAACAAGGATAAATTTAGTCTCCATCAGGTATTCTAATTGGTTTTTGTGATTATTCATCTAATGCATATCCAAGTCACCAAAATAAATTCCGTAAAGCCAGATTTGTATAACATGGCCTCTCACCACATAAAATTAGCAAACAACTAAGTTCACAGTGAATGCTTCTTTCCCCCTTTTTTAAAAATCTCTTATTTTATTTCATTTTCTTTATTTTTTGTGGTGCTGGGAATTGAATCAGGGCCATGTGCCTCAACTTTTGAGCTACATGTATTTTATGTATTCTTTATTTCAAGAGTACTTGCTGTTGGTTTGAAAAGTTCTTTATTCTCCTTTCATTCTCAATTCCCAATCATCCTATTACCAGATCTATTTTTAGGTAATTACAGGGGTATCAATAAAATACTTATGTCCTTCTCAATTAAATGTTTGTTCACAGAAATGAGATTTGAAACACTTATATTTGATCACAGATTATGGAATTTACTTTCTATGCATTTGGTATATACTAAAAAATATTTTGCATGTTGGAAGATATACTTTGTTAAAGTAAAAGATTGCTTAGTCTGCTTTGTCACAAATAATAGTAGTGCCTAACTTCTTGCCCTGACTAATCACTGTTGTAATGTGTGTTATCATCCATAGAAAAAGTGCTGATAGCAGAGGAATTGCTTCATCATGAGACAGGAACATCTCATGTTTTATAAATATCACTGAGGTGCCATCTGAAAGAACATCACAATTTATTATATTATTATTGGTATTAATGTGCCAATTTCTTCATACTCTCATCAATGACAAATATCTCTCTCAAAAATATGTTGCCTGTCTGGTAGGTAAAAAATCATGTTACATTGGAGTCTTGATTTAGAGTTCCCAAGTTTCTTTCTTTCTTTTTTTTTTTAATTTTCTTGTCTTTTTGTCTTTAGCACTTTTTCACATTCACTAATTCACTAATTAATTGTGTTTTATCTTTGGATTATTTGTTCACATTTAAGCTGATATAAACGTAGACAGTGCATATATTTTTCTTCCAGGAACAAGTTAAGAGTTCTGAATGAGATTGCAAGAATGGATGTAAGGAAGTATGTATATAATATATATTTAATATATAATTGGATTTACTTATGCATGTTCACATGTGAAGTATAGATACGTATGGGCAAAGCAACATCACATATAATTATATCTATACCTATACTTGTATCTCTATATAAAAGGAGATATTTTTCCTAGCCTTTCATTTTTCTTGCAAATTTTGAAGTGTCCTTCATCACATAAGTGATTTACATTTTCATGCAGTCAAATATGTCTTAACCTTATTTGGGGGCTTCTTTGTTTTCCTATGTTTTATCACTAGTGTTTTGTTGAATAATTTTAAACACTTACATTTTGACAAAATTGTAGTGTATTTTCATTTACAGGATGACATATGCATATGTAAATTTTCTTCACCTGTAGAAAGCTAACTTACCCAATATTGCTCATAGAATTCATCCTTTTCAGATGGCTAGAAATCTTCTATGCCTTTTACTAATTTCCACAGATATAAGAATCGATTTTAAGACTTTATTCATTTTCATTGATTGATAATTTTTATAAAAATACCATTACATAGTTTATTGATTAATTTGTCACATCTTTACAATATTGGACCTATACATGTAGAAATATATTACTTCTATTTCTGCAGAACCACTTTCAGATACTTTAAAAATATTACATTTTTTTTTAGGTAAGTCTAGCACTTTTTAAGCTATATTAGCATTTTGGTATACTGAAATTTTTGTGGCTACTATAATAGGGATAACTTCAAAAATAATATTAAAAATAATATTTCCTTAGTTATATCTGTTTATATAGCAGAAATTTTTAGACTTTTGTTGGTTGACCCTCTATCCAAATAACTCACTAAATTATGTTAGTTGTTGTATTTGAGAGAGTACTCTTTAATAGAGTATGTTTATATTTTTCCACTTAAACAATTGCCACGTAAGTTTCTAGATGTTTTATCAAGTTGTTTTTCTTTTGCTAAAATACTTAGAAGCATTTTTTTTTAGCATTAAGTGTTGAATTATATGAGCTCTTTACAAGAAAAAGCTGATCACACTTGGAAAAATAACATATAATTCCAATCCCAATAAAGCAGAGAAGTTTGTTTGGACTATCCCCCCCCACACCCTGACCCACCTATAAAAAGTATAATCTCTGGATTGGTGTAAAACTTTTTGAGGATACAGCAACAAAAATAACAACAACAACAACAAAAGAAACTAGTGGATTTTGATCTTTGAAAGTTGAAAAAAATCTCACTGACATCTACATTTATAAAGCTTTTCTTCTGTGATTCTCCTCAGTCTTTAAGAGGAAAGACTCAGAAATAGGATTTAAAAAGAAGTCCGTTTTTGCCTGACCCCTAAATATAAATGTGTAGGCAAGACGCCTAGGAGCTCGGCAGAAAAGCAGTAGCTTGATGATGAAAGAGTTAGGCATACATCCCACTTTCTGCATAATGAAAGGGACAGAATATTTCAGTCAAGTTAGAGGTTATATATAAATACTTTGTGTTTTCCATAGAAACTTCAGAAGAGACACAACTTAATAGCAAACGCCATGTAACAGAACTAAGGGGTTTGCATTGGACTAAGAAAAAAACTGAAAAAGTTAAACTAAACATTAATGAAATATAAAATCAAGTCTCTGTAATTCTAAGCTGATTTACATAATTTGATTGACTAGTAAGAGAGAATTAATACTCTTCAGAGGAAGAAAATACAGGCTATATGATGCATCCTGACCATAATTAATAAAAAATAGAAAATTATAAAACATAACAGGAAAAATGAATATGTGATCCTTAATATTCAGGGACAAAAGCAGTAAATAGAAAAATACTCAAGATGACTCAGAATTGTAATCAGCAAATAAAAATTTAGATGAAAATATTAAGCAATTATATAGACTTGGGAAATATCAGGAGTAAAAATATAAATTAGAAATGAATCAAATGAAAAATTTATAGTTGAAAAGTACATTAACTGACGGAAACTTTACTGGATTAGATCTTAGATGATTATAATTTATTATATCTGAATAATAGAGAAAAAAAGAAGGATATGAAACAAATAAAACCAGCCCAAACAACACATTACATAAAAAGCAATTCAACATCCATGAAATTTGAATCACAGAAGAAAATGGGTGAGAGAATGGGACAGAAAGTATCTGCAGAAAATAATAGCCTTTATCTCAAGTTTGGTGGAAAATATCCAGACACTAAATAAATCCCAATCATGAAAAATAGCATGAAAAAACATATCTAGGCTCTCAATTTCAGTTTAACATCAAAGAGAAAAAAAATCTTTAAAATAATCACTGGCAAAAATGACACATTGAACTAAAAGTCTTTAGGGAAACAGCTAAGTGAATGAAGCTAACTTCCCAGAAGAAATAGTGGTGGCCAGAATAGAATGAGACATCATTAATGTGTGTGTGTGTGTGTGTGTGTGTATATATATATATATATATATATATATATATACATGACCAATGTGATTCTGCAGCCTATATACTCAGAAAAATGAGAAATTATATCCCACCTGATTCAAATGTATGATATGTCAAGGTCATTGTACTGTCATGTGTAACTAATTAAAACAAATAAAATAAATAAATAATAAACAAACAAAACCACAACTCTTATACTAGATTTCTAAGTTTAATCAAATTACCATTTAGAAATGAATGATAAAGTTATTACCGAAAAGTATTAGGTGCAAAAACTTTGTCAAAAAAGTAAAGCTGTTACATAAGAAGTGCCTAAAGAGGGTTTTCAGGATATATGGAAATAATATCAAATGGAAACCAAGTTTTACAGGAACAAATAAAGAACTATAGGAAGAGTACGTATGTTATTAAGTAGATCTTTTAATTCTATCTGATGTACTTGTATTAGTCTCATGAAAGATACATTTTTATTCAAGTATTAACAACAATAAACATGCATTTGAAAATAGGTGAAGTAAAATACATGAAACAAGCCAAAAGGGTGATAATGAAAATGGATATAGATCATCAAAAATTTCCTAAGTTGTGCATAGAATAGTTTTTGAGTATAACCAGTGACTATGGATTCACATTTTAATATCTAAATAAGCACTAAAATACAAAAAGGCATAGCTAAAATATTTCCAGAGAAGATAAAATATAATATTAAAAAATATTTCACTTCAAATACTAAAGCAGTGGAATGGGAACAGAAGAATATACAGCAGTCTGGACAAATAGAAATCACATGTCATGATGCTGAAATTATACCCAAACCCAGAAATACCTATATCAAATTATGAGACTGGATATTTCAAGAAAAATATTTTCCTGGATTAGGAAAAAAGCAAAAACAAGCCATGTGTGCTTCATAAAAATATACTTGAAACACAAAGACACATATTGGTTAAAAGTAAAAGAATGAAAAGATTTAAGAAAACTCTTGCAACTGCACTAATATCAGACAAATCAAATTTAGAAAGGGGATTCTTTTGTCATGAGTAAAGAGTCAGATTAATCAACAGAAATATTAAATGTATTAAAAACCAATAATAAAATGTCACAACTCATGAAGGAAAAACTGTTAGAATAAAAGTGAAATATCGGGGCTGGGGTTGTGGCTTAGTGGCAGAGCACTTGTCTCATACATGTGAACCTAGGGCCCCATACGTCTAGTGGCAAGCTCTCTACTGCTGAGCCAAAATCCCAGCCCTTACTGTAAAGTTTCTTAGGCCATCTCTCGGAGGAGGACATATTTCTTATGTATGCCACTTACACGTACGTGTGTGTGTGTGTGTGTGTGTGTGTGTGTGTTTGAGAGAGAGAGAGAGAGAGAGAGAGAGAGAGAGAGAGAGAGAGAAGATGAAATCCTTTCCCAAGTACTGTTTATTTTTCAGAAATTTCTAAGAAGTTTTATCCCTTTTTGACATTTTTTCTGGTTTAACTGCTGTGTATTTATTCTATTTTTCCATTTTCTTTTGTATTTTTTTTTCAGACTTGAATTCACTTTAATTTTCTACTAAAGATTGGAACAATGTACATTTAAAGACACCCTTTATTCCAAAGCTTGGGATGAAGAACAGAGGGGGAAACATTGATATGAGCCTCATAGTGTAAATATATATAATATATGTAAACATATATTCTCGTCCATGTCTTTAGTCCAAGCTATCAGTGGTCTGAAACAATAAAATAAATACATTGTGTGTTAACTATAGGAGACTGTCTTACACATGATTTTATAGTACACAGATTATCAAACTGAACTACTACATACACAGTGGTCCTCAATAGAGTTGTTTTACAATCATTACTTTTGTAAATTTGGGGCAAGTTGACGGAGAGGGTGGTGATGGACATTTTTGAGGGAATAAAATGTTCTACATTTTTAAATTAGGTATCTTGAATTGGTAATCTTCTTCCTACCCCTTTTAGAATCCCAGTGAAACTTCCTTTGGTTATTCTTTTCAAATATATTTCTTTACGCTGAAATTTTGTGGGAAATTTGGTGCTTTAGGGTGGCAGTTAGGTAGGGGCAAGAAAGTCTTAGATACCAACTTTATCAAAGTGCCTAGTTGTCTGGCATATTATTATTCACTTAGAATATTTTGGAAATCACATTTAAAAATTTTATAACATAGTTTAATAGAACTCAGTGGGACTAAAATATTTTAGAAATTGAACAAAAACTCAGTTACATTGTCTTATTATTATTATTAATTATTTTATTTTAAATTGAACTTTTTAAAGCACAGCAGATACCTTGGACCAGGAGAAGTTACTATG